GGGGTGCATGTGTCTTTTGAATTAAGGTTCCCTCTGGATATATATCCAGAAGTGGGATTGCTAGATCATATGGTAAGTCTATTTTTAGTCTTTTGAGGAATCTCCATACTGTTTTCCATAACGACTACACCAAACTACATTCCCACCAGCAGTGTAGGAAGGTTCCCTTTTCTCCACACCCTCTCCAGCATTTGTTGTTTCTGAACATTTGAGTGATGACCATTCTGAACTGGTATGAGGTGATACCTCATTATAGTTTTGATTTGCATTTCTCTGATAATCAGTGATACTGAGCATTTTTTTCATGTGCTTTTTGACCATTTGTGTGTCTTCATTGAAGAATTTTTGTTTAGGTCTTCTGCCCACTGTTGGATTGGGTTTTTTTTTTTTTCTTATTAAGTTGTATGAGCTGTTTATATATTCTGGAAATTAAGCCCTTGTCAGTTTCATCTTTTGCAAATATTTTCTCCCATTCTGTTGGTTGTCTTTTTGCTTTGCTTATGGTTTCCTTTGCTGTGCAAAAGCTTATGAGTTTAGTTAAGTTCTGTTTGAAGAAATCATAACAATCTTAATGTCTATCCATGTAATAGGAAAGCTTCAAAATACACACAAACAAGTAACAGGACTAAAAAGAAAAAGACAAATTCATAATCAGATTTGAAGATTTTAGTACTTCCCCGGTTGAATGTTACTTGGTTGTATATGTAGATAAAAATCATTTGAACTTATACTTCAGTTGTCTACATATTACTCTATGTAAATTTCAATAATAAAAAATGGAAAAACAACTCCATTGGCTATAAGAAAAAAAAGAAGAAACAAAGAAATGATGAACTTAAACTAATATATCAATTAATTTGGAATTAAATGGTGTCTTGGTAGCTTTAAGTGCTTTCCCTAATCTCTGGGGCAGGCTCTCCTTCGTATGATATGTTCAGGTCTCCAGAATTGGTGGAATATCCCAGTCTGAACTTTTCATGACCTGTGGAAACCAATGAGTTAACACTATGGCCCTATACCAGGCCCTCTTCTGGGAATTTCTACAAAATTTCTCAGGGAAATCATTTGTTTACAGAACATAGTAAAGATGGAAGAATTGGTGTCCCGTGAGTACAGAACTCAGAACACAGTTCAAGGAGTCTGTGATCTCTATATAAAGGTCTCGGTCAACAGATGTGGTACTGAGGCTGAGAAGCCTCTGGCCTAAAGTCACCTTTGTTTCACTGTGTGGTTAAATGGTAAGTGCAATAGTGCCCTAACATAATATTGTCTCAGTATGGCACTGTATCCTGGCACGTGTCTGAAATGTGAGTACTCTATGAACTGGGACTTAGAGAAGAAGACTATGACTAAGGGTGGCTTGATGGAAGCTCCAGAATTTTGATATAGGAGGGGCTCAGAGGTTAAAAAATAATACAATGGGGAAATGGAGGGAACTTTTTTGGGAAGAGGAATTGGAGGTTGGATCAATTGCCAGAGGCCAATGATTTAGTCGATCATTCCTACATAATGAAGTTTCCATAAAACCTGAAAGACAGGGTTTGGAAAGTTTATAGGTTGGTGAACACATGAAGATTTGGGGAACAGTTACACACTCAGGGAAGCATAAAGACTCCATGCTCTTGCCACACACCTTTTCCTTTGCATCTCTTCCATCTGGCTGCTCATGAGTTCTGTGAGCTGCTCTAGCAAATTAGTCACCCTCTAGGAGGGCTGTGAAAACCTCTCATTTATACCCAGATGTTTGTAAGTACAGGTAGCACCCTGTACTTGTGACTGGCATCTGGAGTCCATGAAGGGGTATGTGGAACCCTCTAATCAGTAGCCAGTTAGTCACAAACACAGGTGACAACCTAGACTTGTGGTGGGCACCTGAAGTGTATGTTTAGGGGGCAATCTTAAAGGACTCAGCTCTTAACCTGTGGGGTATGATGCTATCTGTGGGTAGACAGTGTCAGAATTGAGTTGAATAGTTTTAGGACACCTTGCTGGTATCCCAAGAATTGCTTGGTGTTGTCTCGGATGCACCCCTTCCCCACCAACACACACACACACACATTGGAACTGGTTCTCATAAATCTTTTAGTCATAATGTATTGAAATAGATGCTAAATTTATAGCAATAACAAAAAAACATAAAATTGACACTGCAATGGGTCAAAATTGTAGTAACTAGGTATATGTCACAGTTTTGGATATTAATAAGAATGTAAATTATATAGTTCACTGTGATCTTTGAATCAGAGGTAAATGACAAAGAGCTAGTCAAAGCAAGAAACATACCTCTCCCCATCTTCAAATCAGAGAAAATCCTCACATAAGGCTTATGGATAATACCTGCTCTGAAAGAAGGAAAGAATCTTCAAGCACCTACTCAGAGGGAAGAAATAATTCCCAACATCAGTTCAGTTTAATGGAAATCAATTCAGTTTAATAAGGTTCAACTAATAATGACTGAATGTGTGCTGTTTGTCAGGAACCATGCTTGATATTGATAATATCAAGATCCTTAAACACAAACTGTGATCTTAATAAACTTATTGGCTACTGAGGAACCATGGAAAGCAATCAAGTAATCAGCCAATCGCAGGACCACTGTGATACTGTAATAGAGTTAGAATGCAAGTTACAGTGAAGGGCATAGACTCTGCTTGGAGTGATCAGGAGGGAAGAATTCAAGGAGTAAGCCACTGCTGGTTTGACCTAATTAGACTTGTCAAGGAGCTATCTCTGTACACTTTCACCCTGGGGATTTTAGAGGTCAGAGAGTGTCTACTACCCAGATTACGACATAACCACTGCCTTATCCTTTTCAAAAGTGCACCTCAGGTCTAGAAGAGGCTTTATCCTTAATGACAATTCACTAGCATCTCATTCTGGAGGATGAACTGGATGAAAACATTGTGTTTCTGATTCCTAATAGTCAAGAGTCCTCTAACAAAACCTGAACCTCCCAATTAAACACTTTCTCTAGGCAAAGAGGGTAGAAACTGATAAGCATTATGTATCTTGAAATCTCATTGTCTCCAGTGAACTTAATTCCAAAAAGAAAGGTACAGTCTTACAGGTACATAGTTAACTCAGTTGTCTATGAAAAATCTCTATAGTTGTAGAACATCTATGTATCTTATGGTGTCAGAAAAAAAGGGATCCAGACAGTATCTATCTCCTGCATCACCAACATACTATGTCTCTAACCTTGCCACCCACCATGGCTGGCCAATAGTCCAGCTGACCAAACCACTTTATATCTATGAGAGTCTATACTGGACTGCAGAGAAAGTCCAAGAATCCTTTCTCTCTCCCCAAGCTCAAGGATGGAGAACACTGCTATGTATTGGTCATTTTTAAGGACATTCTATCTGCTTACATACAAGAAGATGGGATTTTTCGCTGTGCTGTAAGAGAGGGTTAAGTCAAGCACACATGACCTATTTTCTGTCCTTCCTTTGTGCTGCTTCCAATGAAGAGCTTGTGAGTAAAATCAACTTTAAAAGCTCAAGGCCTGGCCTGAAAAATGTTTGGAGCAAAAGACTCTAGAAATCAGAGAAAACACTTACTAACTGCTGTCACATATTGAAATCCTCCTCTCCTGATTTTTTTTTTTTATTCTAGGCTTACTCTAAATCAAGCAAAAAGAGTTACCTTATAGTTCAGCCTGACTTTCTAAGTTGCTTCATTAGATTAGGGGTGAGTAGGGGCAAAGCCTCATAGTAAAAGGGGAATTTATTTGTAGGTCATGCTCTTTATGTGGATATTATTTTCTGAGCACTTTATGGAGAAGTGTGATTGATCCAGACAGTACCTATATTCCTGATTCTCCTTGTCAATTAACATTATCTGACTCTATTATCAATAGTCTGTTTAGAAGAACTACCCCATTCTTTTATTGCCTATTATGAGAAGGCTTTCAAAACTGTATTTTCTTTGTTTCTGTCTTAGACAAAAGTACAGAAAGGAGGGAGATGAGAGTAATAGACCTATGTTGAGAGTGTCATTTCAGATTCAGGAATAAATAAATACTTTCCAACCAATTCATCATGCACACTCTCAATTCCTCTAAAGTTGAGATCACCACCTTCTTCCTGATTGGCATCCCAGGGCTGGAGTATGTTCATGTTTGGATCTCTGTCCCCATCTCCCTCATGTACCTGGTGGCCATCTTGGGCAACTGTACCATCCTCTTTGTGATCAGGACGGAGCCCTCACTCCACGCACCCATGTACTACTTCCTTTCCATGTTGGCTGCCTCTGACCTGGGCCTGTCCCTCTCATCCCTCCCCACTATGCTGAGGCTCTTTGTTTTCAATGCTACAGGGATTTCCCCAAATGCCTGCTTTGCTCAAGAATTCTTTATCCATGGATTCACAGACATGGAGTCCTCAATGCTCCTGGTCATGTCTTTTGACTGCTTTTTGGCCATTCACAGCCCTCTGATATACAGCTCCATCCTCACCAATGCCAGAGTGGCCAAAATGGGCCTGGTGTTTCTCATTAAAAACATGTTCTCAGTGCTCCCATTTCCTTTCACTCTCAAAAGATTGATCTATTGTAGGAAAAGCCTGCTTTCTCACTCTTATTGTCTCCGTCAGGATGTATGAAGCTGGCCTGCTCTGACAACACAGTCAACTTTTTCTATGGTTTCTTTGTTGCCCCCTGTATGATGACAGACAGTGTGTTCATTGCTGTGTCCTATGTATTCATCCTGAAGACCGTGATGGGAATTGGTTCCCATAAGGAGCGGCTCAAGGCTCTCAACACCTGTGTCTACCACATATGTGCCGTACTTATCTTCTATGTGCCCATCATTGCTTTGGCCTCCATGCACTGCTTTGGTAAGCACAAGTCCCCAGTGGCCATGGTCCTCATTGCTGACATTTTCTTGCTGGTACCACCTCTGATGAACCCCATCATCTACTGTGTGAAGACGCGGCAAATTCGTGAGAAAGTTCTGGGGAAATTGGGTCTAAAATAAAGGTATGGGGAAAATGAGGCAGGGTCAGCCAGGGTCAGGGAATAAAAAATACTTTTTGAAGCAAGGTATTGTGGATGTTACATTCTTTTCTTTCTTAATCATCCTTCTGGTCAGTACAATACATGGACTGGGTATTGAGTTTTGCAAGCTTAGGACTGACATGGACATTGACAGGTGTGTGTAGGATAGTTCTGTAATATGATTAGAATCATAAATCAATACAAGGATATGAAATTTTAGTTACACTGTTTACTAGGATAAATACACATGGAAGTAGCAGTTGCTCCCTCTTATAAATAATGAATATCAGAGTAGCTGGAGGTTAAGGACGTAACCCGAAACCAGTTACTGATTTTCTTTCATGAAACCTTCAGACATGGTGTATTTGTTGAGGGGACTTCAGTCAAGTTAATGTGAATTCTTGATTTCCCATTTAAGTGAAAAATCTATTGTCAAGTATGAGTTGGTTAAAGATTTTCTGCCTTTGCTCTTTTCTTAACAATCCAGTCTGGACAATCAGTAATTCTCGTTTACTTTAGAGCTCTAATAGCCTTGAATCATGATAATAAGCTCTCTCATGCCTTCTTTAAGACAGACCAGGTTTTTTTCTCTACCCTACAACAGGGTTCCAGGTAGTCATAGCTACTAAAAGGAGAACAGAGGGACAATTCTCCTATTGGTAAGAAATAGGAATCCTAGTAGCACAGTAATTTTTAAAGCACGAATATTATTGATTAATTGCCCTAAAATATATGTTCTAAAATAACAGTTTTCATGCTTGTTTCAATACTTGGTATTTTCATGTTTGGTAGTTGACATTAAATTACATTAAACAAGCTAGTAATAATTTTAAACTAGCAGAAAAAATGACTGTATATTAAGCAATATAAAATCATATTCATGCAGATATAGTTCCATTTTTTAAAAGATAAATAGCCAACTAGAGATGATTGGCTATCTCAAATTATTCCTATAAATTCATTTGTTTCTTGTTCACCTTTTATTTATGGGTATTAAGTAGGGGACAAAGGTATAAAATGTAAAATTTAGAATAAGCTAGCCAGTCATTCACAGTTTGTACTGTGGAAGTCAAAGAAAATTATTGTTAATAAATTTCAATGTTTTACTTCCTAAGTTGAACTCACAAATAGTATTATTGTGTTCCAAAGAACCATTTTGAAGAAGTTGTTCTCTGATGGCTAAACATTCATGTAGATTTGATGTCCCCAGGTGAGCTTAACTGAGTTCTTGTTGTTCAGTAGCTGACGTTTTGATGTCCCCTGCTTAATCAGGAAAGGGGGGAACAGCCTTTTGTACCTCCTCCCAGTTTGTATTACTCAGTTCCTTCTCGGTGGCCCCTAACACTCTCCAATTATGTTATGATTATTAGTTCACATGTCTGTCTCTCTTAGTTGTATTTTATTTCCTAAAATAACTGCATAGAGCAAATTTATTGACATATCATCAGTACTTGTTCCGTGCACATAAAGGATATCTGGATAGTAGTCTGACACATTTCCCAACTCCTTTTGAAAAAAAAGCAATCAGAACAACAGAAATAAAAGCTTTGACAATTCATAATATGATGATAAACTACAAGCACACAAAAGACCATCAGGAGTGATAGAAAACCTATGGCCAAAATCTGTAAAGAGTAACTATCATTTTAAGTCAAAGAAGCTGCCCTAAAAACAGTTCATGTTCTGTTTAACCACAAGAAAAAGCAAATACATTGCCATGAAAAACATGAGGAAGAATATTTATTCTCTTTTTAGCATTTGCCCTTAACTCAGAAATTAAAATCTTTACAATGGCTCAAGTCATAAGATGTCAATAGATGTCATTTCTCTATCGAAGAGTGAATAGGTTTCAAATTTTCTGTTTTCCTCAATTTCCAATCAAGCATACAGTAGCATGTATTTAGGAATTTACCAAAATAATCCTAAAAATAGATTTATAAGAGTAAACTGGAGAATATAAGATAAAAATAAACAGAAATTATAATAAAGCTCTGTAAGAAAGTGACATTTATTAAACAGGTATAAATTGTGTGTAGTTTGCTTAACAAATCAGTGGTAAGAACAAGGAACTATAACAAACACACTACAATATACCATACATGATATGAAAACTTAACATATAATTAAGGAATATCAGACCATGATTGAAAATAGATTGATTATTCAAATAATAGTGGTAGAAATAATTAGCACCTATTGAGAAAATATATTTGTGTGTGATCTTTTATCATACACAAAAATGAACTAAAATAAATTAAGAATTAAGTACAAAGGAAAATTTTAAATCTACATAAATATAAATAAATAACATTATCTCTGGATGGGAATAATTTACTAAGGAAATAGCAAAAATGGAAAAGCAGAAATGAAAAGTGGTATACATTTGTACTGAAAAGCAATTAGGTATATGAATAACATTTAAATAGTTATAATTTAGAAGACAATAATGGAATATACTCAGTGTTGACCAGGTACCAGACGTCGGGCTATATATTTACCTGTATTAACCCCACTAATTTTTTGCAAGAATGTAGGAAGATAGATTTTATCAGATTGAGAAATTAAAGCTTTGAGAAGTTCAACAACTTTTCCAAGGACACAGAGCTATAGTGTTAGAAACTTGAATCTAACCCAGGCAGTGTGTTTCCAGAGCCTACAAACTTTTCCACTAAATTTAATAATTCACATTCTAAATGTGATCAAATATGTATTTATAAGAATATATTTTGAGAGTTATTTGCTATGATAAAAATACTATAAACTACTGAAATAAATAATAGGAAATGTAACATAAACCATGATGTACATATAACATTAAATATTATTTACCCATGCAACACAGCATCAACAAATAAGTGGTTAAGCACTATATAAGATGCTAAGGATTAAATAAAACATAAATCTTAGGTCCACTATCAAGGAGCATATAGTCTGGAGGTGGAGAGAAAAAACAGAATTAACTTCACTGAGTAAAGTATGGTAAGTTTAAGCACACATATAAAAAAGCACAAATGAAAAAATGGCAATTTGCCTATTTTATTGAAGAATCAGAGGAAAGCTTCCTGGAGAAAGTTAAATCTAATGTAAAATATGATTTAATAGAGAATAATGATTAATAACAGGCAAATAAGTAAGATACACATTCATATGTACACTATTATTTTTGTTATAAATATAAACTGTGTGTGCATATATGTTGGCTTATTAAAAAAGATTAAGGCATAAATCATATGATTCTCATTGATAGGATTGTGAATGATTTTTCTGTCTTTTAATACTTTTCTATATTTCTCAATATAGTCACG